TATGGAATTTGTAACGAGCAAAATAAAATGTAGCACGATGTAAAACTGGTTCGAAACGCGACGGTCCTTTGCTCGGAGCAGATGTTACCATTCTACCGAGTACAATTTGATCTTGTATAAACAATTGACGTATATGAAATGGCAATAAATTGTTGTACGGTTTAAAAAAGAAATTATACGCTGCGTAAGTAGTGCCGAAATTTTCCACAGTGGGATTGTAAAATGTAACAACATGACTTAACGTGAAGTGTAACGTGAATTCTACAGAGCGTGTTACATTATAAAAAATACTAATCGTCTGATCGCTATTGCTGGGTCGAATAATGAGCGCAACACTCCAGGAGTTTTATACACTTCGAGCTCGGGAGAATGAACGAAGGAGGAAGTGGATTACTGTTGTCGAATAACTAGAAACGATAAAACTTGGGAGCTAAATAAAAATTCAAGAATATGGACGCTTTGAAGAAAGAGGAAAATCGTTAGATTAGACAGCTTCTTATAATCCTATACCGAGAACCAAAGCTCTCTAATAATTTTTTGTCTTTCGTCACACGTTTAAATATGTCTAAATTATCGTTTCCTCTAAATAAGTCTTGAAATGTGGCTTACGACAAGTCGCAGCCTCTAAAATCCCACTGTTTAAAAAAGAGATCCACGAGACTATGTGCAAACATACTTACGTAGCATGTACAGCAATTTTTATCGTTAGACTGCGGATTTTTATGCAAAGTGAAAAATTTATTGTAACAATTTAAAGGACGTGTTTCCGACAAACGTCTTAAACAAGCATTTCAACAACTTTCGATATTCTGAACTGTCTTATATATTACACACGGCGTTTATCATTTCTGCACATCGAACTTTCGTTTAGTTGCATAAAATCCGCAGTCTATTTATCATGCACTTCTAATGACGATTGTTGACTGTTAATTGTTTTCTTTGGATCCAGTACGACGGACCAGCTGTTTCTCGATACATGATAAGATGAAATCGTGGGATGTTGCGTGGATAAGAAAATTTTATGGAACGTTCGTGAAAATCGGTGTGCGTTCGTTTTCGTTGCCGCGTTAGTTGATTGTTCTACAAGCTCGGATTGTGCGCGGCTATTCATTAGACTGCGGATTTTCATGCGTTCGTCATGTCGCTTTAAAAGCCCATTTCAGATGGTCCATTCAGATAAAAGTCCATTCAGACATCTCTTTCATTCTTCGAAAATAACATGCATGGTCAGACTTATCTACGAATACATCGAATCCGCAGTCTATTTATTAATAACGAATACTGTTACGTACTCGCTTCGTAATTTATTCTGATCTGCGAGAGCAGATGAGGGACGAAGATGGAACTGTTGACGGGGAGAAAGAAAAGTTTATTGCCACGTTCTTCCACGAACCGATGCTCGGACCCGAGTTTAATTGAAACCTGCACAACTATTTAAACGAACACGAAGGCGTTTTTTACATGTAATTAACGTGTGTTAAAATAATGTACGAGGGCACCTACCTCGATTCTGCAACTGTTCTCTTGTTGCCTCTTCGTTCTTCTCTTCATACACGTTTAGGTTTCACTGTCATCGTCACAACACGCGATTCGCGATAAGAGAATCGGAAAAACGTGAATACGAGAAGAGTACAAGAGTAAACGATTTTTCGGTGAACTCGGTTCGAGCGAGCTAATAGCACGCGCGGAACTGAACTAGCAGCGTATCGCATTCCAATTCGAGCAATCGTTGCGGTACGAATTAATTAACCGATAGAGCTGGTATTGGAACGGAAAATCGGAAACGATCCTTACGACGTGACTATAGTTTAAAAAACGGTGGTCGCAGTGGTTTAAGATTTGCGGAATTTCGATGGCAGCGTCGCCCGTTGAGGGATAGTGGAACTCAGGTTTCACTCGAGGAATTTTTTTCTCATTATTCTTCGAATGACCTGGCATGTCGCGCAAGCCGCGAGCTCGGAGCTTTGGCTAATAGAGAGAGAGAGAAAACATCGGTTTTCCTCTGTTTCTCTTGAAGCGGCGCAAGAGCGCACAAAACGAAAAACGAAAAATTGGAAATGAAATGTTGTCAAGACAATCTTAATAGATTAGACTTAAGTAATTAGATCGCAACCGTAGTTCCCTGCTTTGTTCCAGTTCTAAAGAACAGCGAGCCTGTCCCTTCGCACATTCAAATTACTAATGATACAATATATTTTAACGCAATGCGAGTATTATGTGTCAAAAGCCGGTAAAAAAAGTCACCGGCCATAACACCAAACAATTTCAAAAGAGCGTAAAGAAAACTCGTAAAAATACAAGCAATGTACGCCAGAAATATCCAACAAGTAGATACGTATTTGTTAATCGGAATTCATAACGAAAGCATAAAAATAATAGTGTAGGAACAATTACAATACTTACGTGAAGTAGTAAATTCGTCGTAAGAGAGTAAACGTTTACACTTTACACTGGTAACAATTACGTGCGTATAAAAAGGTTTCGAGATTAAAGTCGAACGCCGGTACAACAGTAATTACAATACTTAAGTAATAAATGCGTCGTAAGCAAGCTTCTACAACCGTAACCGTTACGTACGTTCGAAAGAGAGGAAATGAAAATGCCGGACGACTGAGCCAGCTGATTGGAGAATATGGGGTCACCTTACGCGGCGCCACGGCTACCGCGCGAAAATTCAAAATCACTCGACTTTCACTGTCAGTGACACGAGTTTCATTGTTCCTCAAAGCACGGCGTTATGGTCGAAATTCCTCAAATCTTACGACACTGGGTGGTCGTCGATTGAAAAAGGACGGTTCCTTAGTCTCAATTACTAGTTGAAAATGTCTCCCTCGACGGAGACGCGCTAAAACTGCTTGGTCTTGTTTATTAGTGACAATCGGGAGTTTCAGTCTGTAATCACTGCCATATCACGATACAGAGTCAATAAGCAACAGCGATTCCAGGTAATATGCGTTTTTATTGTCCAGCTTCACGATAGATTTACTTTCGTCCCGAATCAGGACATGTGCGAATTTCTAGCAATAATTCTTATTAAATTATTCGCTTATTTAAATAAAATTACTACAACTCAATCACCTATCTGTTTATTGTTTGAAACGACCGAGTGCGAGCAAATTACATAAAATTGCGTTGCTTAATCGCTGTCTCGCAGATGTTTGCTATTAGCGGGAGCATCTCGTTCCTCGCCAATTTCTTTCGATCGGAGTTTCATACGTTTGCCAGAAACTTTTGGCCAACCTTTCAGAGGTGTTCGCATTTTCTAGGACTTTCACAGACCGTGGACGGAACTCTTTGGTATCAAAGAGTTGCTGGCAACTTTCGGGATGATTAAACCTTCGATTTTTCCTTTTGACTGCGTAATTTCATTCACGGTTACTAGGTACCGTCGGAGCACCGTTCACGGGACTGATGCGGGAAACGATTCAGAAGCACAAGAAATGCAGTGAATTTTGTCGACTTGATCAATAGCAGACCATTTGATTACTGTAACGACCTTTTGTGGTATGATCATTGAACGGTAATAACTCTCCTACAGGAAACGTTCTAAGAATGTTGCTTGTTACGTTTCTCGATTTTTGTGCAAATAATGATGAACGCTAACGCATCTTTCGCGCTGCATTCCTTCTACAAACAGACGCTAGAATTCGATGCATTCGGCAAACGTGATTTAGATTGTGTCAGGGAATGCAGGAAAAAGAAATAGAGAACTAGAGAGGAAACACGCGTGATTGTCATGTAGAGCAGCGGTCAGAGAAAGGAATTGCAGACGATAATGATTATGTATCCTCCAATAATTATACGCAATATGAAATTGAGTATACAAAGCAAAGCAGCGAGAATCATTTGTCCTAGTCCTAGTATTCGAAACTCATCACCATAATTTATAACCAATCTCAATTTAAATCTAATAAAACGATGTTATAATACCAATGCCTGGTTTACTCATTTCATTCGAAATATCAAACTCAATTATAATTTAAGTTCAATGTAATTTCAATTCTTTTCTTTCTATGTTCATTTTAATTTTCCCTTCGATTCCTCTCGATCACCAGGCTTCAAGTTTCCCATTTGGGCGCTCGGTCTATTCTCGTACATCTATGGTTCGCATTCATTGAATTAAAATCATTAGAACGAAACGTCGTGCAGTGGAATCGCAGACACGATTTATGTTTTACAAATTCATTTTTTAATCATTTTCGTATGGCAGACTAGTTACAAAATCATGTAATTCGACGATCTCATTTGAACCTCGGGATATAAAAGAAAATTCGTAGGTGTATCGTTAGAGGAACTTTTTCCTTTTTGTCTCGCTTATTTTACATTAGTAGCCAATTTATAGTACAAAACTGTCGTCTCCCTTTGACGTATAAAAACTTTCCGGAAATTTCACGAAACATTTGTTCGCCTATCGCTTAAAGAGAAGGTTGTATAAAATAGAAAATTCAATACTTCTGTTGGTCTCAACGTAGACAGTCTCGATGACGGTCTCTTTGATCAATACAAATTATTCTGTAAATGCGTATAAATGCAATATTCGCGTGTACCCTAATATACTTATCCGCGTAGATCAGAGTGTATTTGTGTAGAGCTTTAACGCTAGAGCAATCGAGTACTCGCATGTTCAATAAATTAATAATTCTTAAAACACTCGCCGAATTGTTCGACGTAGATTGTTCTAGTGTTAAACGCATCGAGGGGGTGCTTATCGTATGATTGTATCAGCCACTATAGATCGTTCAAATGCTCAGAAATATTTGTGTATGAATCTTACAGCGGAATACTGACGAGTCAATGATAGGAAATTTTGCAAATCGTCTGCACGTGTAAAACGGTGTAATTTCATTATGCTTTGGCATTTTGTTATACTTTACAATATAGAAATACTTAAAGAATTAAAATATTCTGACTTTCATCCGTACAATTACATTCTTCCGTTTAAAAATCAATAGAGGAATACTCTCGACTTTCTTACTGGTCAAATGAACTTTCCTTCATTTATAAATATATACACGATGGTAAAAAATATTCATGTAAAGCGCACGTCGAGTCGTTATCGTTTGGCACAAGAAATATTGTTTCACTGAATTTTGAAGAAAACGTTATACCGTCACGTTTCCGTGCAATCACTTCTTTTCCTAACAACAATAACAAACCATAACAAGTTCTTTTATACATATGCCTATCGTTTCTAATTCTCTACTTCTATTACAACTGGGAAAACGAATATGCCTGCAAAATATCCTTAATGGCTGTGGACAGCTATAAATAATAATGTTTACGAAGTAGAAAAAGTATAAAGTGTTAAATCATCGTGTGAAATTACCTTGCTACTTATTAACTATCTAACTTGATATTTGGCAGACGTGTAGCTCCAATAAATTGACTTTGTTAAAATGTATACAGCGAAATAAATATTCTCCTTAGACCAAATATATCTCTCGTTTGGTATTTAAGTACTCGTCACTCCCTTACGGGCTACTAATAAGTTTAATACTGGATGTTTTCTGATATAAGACACTGCCTTCTTATGTGTCACCATCGTGAAGTCATACCCGTTACACTGTAAAATTTTGTCATGCATACGAAGCCCACTTTTTGCCGCAGGCGATCCCTCGTGCACTTCTGTCACATATATACCCTGCAATTAGATTTAATCGACTTAACATGGAATCGATGTACATACATAGATCGGATGTAATGTTAATTCGTCATTTACATTATCTGTATAACCCTGTGGACTTTTTCTAAAATCTTGGTCTATGCCGCCACCAATTTTGAAACCACACTTCATCACTTCCTCCCCGTTTTCATTTACATCCGTTTCTTTGACCAGCACGATTGGTATCTAGAAATTGGCCAGACAATTCAATATTTAAGAAACATAAATGAGGATTATGGGATTAAGGTTTGGAAAATGATCAGCTGAATAAATTGTACGTACGCTCAGGCATTCCATAGCGGTGCCAGCTTGATGCTGGAAAGCCATTTTCGCGCACATCGTGACGAATTTTGTATATCCCTTATGAGCTCAGATTGTCAACTGGTACCGACGTACCTACGATGATTCAACGTGATCACCAATTGCTCACGTACAATACACACCGACGGGACTATCGCGTGACGATCGTGCCTTTTAAGACTGCGTTTAAAAAATCAGTCGTAGAATGTGCAGTCGTAGAATTCACTTAGCGATCAACCTCATCAACAAATTCGGTACAATAGTGTCGTTAAGATCAGTTTAGTTGATGATAAATTACTTCGTCCTCACGTTGACAGCCTTACGTCGGTATCGAGTAGATAGGAAAGTATCATTTTGATAGAACCGGATAGAGTGTACCGTGGGAAATGTAGTTCGAGATAGATGCGCCCATGTGTTCCTTGATCTCACATGGATCTGATCCAACATGCTGGACGACCAATCAACAACCTCACAGACCAGATCCCGCATCACCCATGTTATTTCATCTGCCAATGAGCGAATAAGGAAGGGAATGGGAATGATCAATGATGCACAGATTATTTGGAACGATGCATTTCAAAATTAAATTCTAAATGTTTTTACTTCAGCTTATTACATCGTTAATTATTTGAAATCCGGTGGAAAATAATTAAAACACATTGATTTGCAATGTTTTTTATTAATGTATATTTTTGATTGCGCACAGCACAAATATATACAAATTGCGTATTACCATATTAATCTAAGCTTCTTAATTATCTTCCTCCGAATCACTTTCGCCGTCGCTCTCGTCTTCCAACTCTGGCATAGGAAAACGTAGTATAGCTGCGATTCCAGTGAGCTGCTCTAATTCTGTATGAATCATTGGAAAAACCGAGTTACGAAAATAGATATAAAAGTTTCGAGGATCGATTCGACGACTTACGTTCTCCTGAAACGTGGAGACTTGAAAATATCTTTACATCACCGCCAGAATCTCTCACGTTCTCCACTATTTCGACGTATTCTTTTCTCTCGTTTACATCTTTACACCTGCATTAAAATTACAATAACTATACTATCGTTGTTCCGCAATAAAATTTATACTACTCGACCGATTACCTGAACAATTTATCCGAGATCAGTAACGTCTCAATAGCTTGAGATTCGTTAGCTTTCTGAATGTGCTTCTTCCCATAGAAAGCTCTTGGAGGATCGATCTGTAATATCGTATAAAATGTCTGCAGAGCCTTCACCTCACCCGACGCTTTCGTTTCCGATATTCTTTGGAGCACTGCAGGCTCAGCCAACACCTCTATAAAAAAAGAGAGATCAAGAAACATTCACAAGATGTTCATTTTATATACTACCTTTTAACGAGTGCTTAAAACCCGAACTAGAATGAACGAGTAAAAACTTCCCCTTATTATCCAATATTATTTTGTTGTCCAACTTAATAGCCTGCTGAATCATGTAATCCATGAACTGATCTTTAACGAAACCCGGGCTGGCGAGGATGACGCATTTCACAATATCGAAATTGATGTGTCTCAATATTCCTTGCATTATGTTATCGTAAAATCTTGTTAAGCCCTGGAAGATTATCGAACGTGAACAGAAAAATGTATTCCGAATTATTGCAGTGGCAAGTTTGAAACGGAACCTTTTCATGTTGCGAGACGTTGCCTTTCCTTTTCCTAGGTATGACTTGGTCTATCTTAGCACGAACTATTGTCATGTTGGAAGTTATTAAACAAATATGCGCTATGCCTTCTTGCATCACCACAGCGGCGACGTCTGCGTACTAAGGGAACGGAAATATTTCGTTTCGATGAATTTTAACAAATCGTTATCATCTTCCTACCTGTGTTAAATCGCATGCAGTGTCGACTCTTTCCAAAGAAATGGAATCCCATTTAGTTTTAATGATTGTAAACTTTCTATTTTGCTCCACATCCAATGTATGATATGCTCCTGTCTACAAAAATGATATATTGTCCACATTCCAAATAATGCACCAAATAATTTGATTGAATTACCTTCACATATTTGTTTTCTTCTACGTTTCTACCTTTCAGTCTTAAAACACATGCTTGAGTATCAAAATCGATGCCTTCTACGCATATGGTTAAGGTAGTTCTAACTCTGTAACTGCTGGAACTACCGGTTGCAGATTCTGTCTGTACCTTTCTACAATCGTAATAGTATTAAGTATGGCATTGGTATAACTTATTAGTCAGAAAAATAATGTTTTACCTGATAGTAGAGCTGCTGACAAAATCTCCTTCGCTAATAAGATTATATGCATGCCACATATCTTCTGTATTTTCTGGGACAAGGGACACGCTCCTAAAATTGTATTCATTCGCATTTTATTGCTCATTTCTATTGGGAACTGTAATTCACTCACCCTTCTCCGAATTTATCAACATTTTTTGACACAAGCTTCATTTCATTTAATTGTTATCTCATATGCCCAACCTACGAGTTCAAAATGTTAAACATAATATTCTACCAGTTTTAAACAACGTTCTTCACGTAAAATGCAAGATATTTATACATAATTTGTACAGACGCATTGACACCATGGTTATGATTAAATCATGACCAGGTACTTGCGTGTGAAATTACGTAATTACCTTAAGAAAAATTGTACGAATTCATATTTAGACAAATTTTACGTTCCATGGTTTATATGCTTAATTTCAATGACGTAAAATACATTGAGCCATATGTCAAACATGATAGGATCTTGCCGTTGATCGACAGTTGGATTCATAGCTTGAGAAAGAGGAAGGGAGAGGAGAGCAGTGGTCAGCAGTGGTGTAACTGGGTGCAACTGGGTGGGTGTAACTGAAAGGGACGAGACGAGATCTCGTCTCGAGAGATAATATAGTCGTAGAAACAAAATTCCCAAAGTCTGCAGATTGGACTTTAAAAATTTTGAAAGATAATAATAATATGGATATATTTTGTAACGGCATCTGATTGACTGGATTTTCGTTTTGCCTTTTCGTATTAATTAGAAGTCTCCAATGATATGTAACAAAACTGGGGTGATTGGGGTAATATATATTACCACCAGTACTATATGGTACAAATGACGCGGGAAAGGACCACAGAGATAATCTTTGAAATGTCCCGTGTGTTAGAGACAGAAAAAAGATCGGTGGCCTCGTCTGTTCTTGTCGTCCATGCACCATTAGAGAAGGACAAACGGGACTTCCGATTCTCGCTCTCTCTCTTTCTATCGTGGAACTCAGTGGGATCTGAATGGATCTGAAACGGGGATGTTTTCACTTGAGGGAGTTGCAACGACCCTCGGTTCTCAATCAACTGTAACTGTAAACTGCTGTAAACCATTTCCTTGCATTTCCCATTTCTTTTCTAGTGCTCTCTGGTGTAACCTGCATGAAGATTTATACAGATTTTTATACGTTGAACTGAATTGGAATGGTTTTTGAATATTACAAATTTGTATAATATAACTTTAAAATGACGACTCAAGACAGCCAGCTTGATGCTGATGTGAAAATTTATTTCGTAATATTGAGCAAACTTGAATCTGAAAATGACTGCGGCGAAGATACCTGGAATGCTTTTAACGTAAGTAGACGGTTACGAGGTACCGGTCGTACACAAAAGAAGTGGAATAATGAGTTCGCTTTTTAGAAATGCTCCGAGTATAATCTGGACCCGGTGTGGATCACTGAAAAGCAATGTGGAAAGATGCAGCCTACTAAAGGTGATGTTTTTATTTTAGAAGAATTTGCAGGTGACACATTTGACAGACTAAAAACATTTAAATGTTCGTAAGTACCATTTTATAATGAATCTTTATTAATCTTTTATATGTATTACACTGGATAATACGATTATAAATCTACTTTGTCATTATAGCATAATTGGGCCGAGATGTCTGTTGATTTGCTTTGCTAATGGAGAACCAATTCCAGCTGGTACAAATCCAGTATACACAACAGCTATGAGAAATCTTTGTATCTGTGCATCAGGTCTATCTCCAGAAGAAAAAGTATGTACATCTTTAAACAGTTGTTTCTTTCTGGTAATGAAGTGTAACATATCTCATTGTCGTAGGAAAATGTACAAAAGCTAGTGGAATATATGGGAGGACTTTTTACGAAACCTTTACGTAGCCACGTAACACATCTTGTCACAGGGTCTGTGTTTTCTGCAAAATATGAGGTGAGTAATTTTATTTAACGATGCTGTGTGAGATACTTTGGGATGGTTATTGCTTTTTTAAGAGAGCTGCGATGGATATGAAAATACCAATTGTCACCAAAAAATGGGTCGAAGCAATTTGGGAAGAAAATTTAAAGCATTTTACTAAGCCCGATGACGAAATATTTGACAAATATAAAGCTCCAGTATTTCTTAATTTAATTGTAACAGCAACCAATCTCCAGAAGCGCCAAAAAGAAGAGTTGAAACGTTTAATCGGCGATAACGGAGGAGTAACATACATTTTACCGAACTCTGCGACTTGTCTTTTATATAGCTGTTACTAAAATTCTTTATCTTGCAGACATTGATGGGTCCTTTGGATCCTAGCATAGTGAAAGTCGTACTCGTACCGGAGAACAGTCCAATGAGTGAAAAGTTAAAATTTGCGAAAAAGATGAATATCCCTTGTCTGCTACCAGACTGGGTGTACGACAGTATAAAGGTGGGATACGCTTTGCCTTTTAAAGACTATCTTATTAAGACGTTGACGGCATGTTCCACTCCAGAAAGGTCGAATGGTAACGGTTTATTTACCGCGCAATGTATTCTACGTATATAAATTAAATTAAAGGCTTAATAGTTGGTTTTATGATCTTTTTAGTTCCAGTGGACGCGAGTATTGATTGTTCTTCGATAAGTACCATCACATGTGATGCACCACAGAGAAGTTGCATTAGCGAGAGCCTAACCAATCCTTTTTTGGATTCAATGTCACACACATCTACTGGTCAGTTGTAAAATACATCCAAAACGATGTGACCGTGATAAATTTTATTTATTTCAATTTTTAGTTTCAGAAAATTCAATTGTGGACAGGCTCACGTTTGGCGAAGCAAAAGCGGCCGGACCGTTTTTAGATGGTTGCTGCGTAAGTAAATAAAACAGACTTACATATTTAATACATTTGTCAAAGTTAACTGCGTCATTTTGTCACAGATTTATCTCGCTGGATTCTCTACTCAACAAAGAGATAAAATTAACAGGATATTAAACGTAGGAAGCGCGACTCGACTTGATGACATATCTGATGCCATAACACACGTTATTGTTGGGGATAAAAGTAAAGCAGGCGCTGAATTGAAATTGTTGAAGTCAAAACGATTAAGGTAAAGTATTGAATTGAATTTTCACTGTTGACTAACGAATGCGTTTTATACTCTATTATCACTTTTCGTACAGTCCATATATACTGACAATAGACTGGTTGGAGCAGAGTATTAAATTAAAACAACCTGCGCCGGAAGAAAATTTTTTCTGTGAACAAAGAAACAACACGATACAAAATGTTACAGAGGCACCTTCTCCATTGAGTAAAAAGGTAGTAATCAATATACTTGATACTTGAGTGAATTCGATTACAGTAATTTTATATACCTTTAGAATCTGCAAATGTTACAAAAACCACGGAAAGTTCCGATACCGTCGTTTGACATAGATCGAAAACTAGCGATGCTAGAAAAAGAGAAAGAAAAGGAATCATCCGATCTTCTTCAACAATATCTTCAAAATACAACCGGTAATGCATAAAAGAGTAATATTACATAGCTTAAAGATTTTTATCAACAAATTTTAATATATTTATTCAATATCCAGGTGAAACAAGAGAGAAAACGATGGAAGAAACTTTCAAGACTCATATGTCTACCTCCGAAGGAAATAATGATAAAACTTTGATTACTAATGAAGTGAATGAAAGAACAGGGCCAAGAGAATCTGTGAAGCGTGCAACGAGCCAAAGCAAATATGTGGCGGACGATAGCGCGATGCCTGCAAGTCAGGCTTCCACTTTGAATTACAGATTATTCGAAGGTGACAATATACATACAATAAAAGTGTATTACGGTGTCGAACGGAAAGTAATATGTCAAAATATGTAGGACTGACGTTCGTTGTGACCGGCTTTAGCGACGAAGACAGTTACGTGGTCGAAACTATAGCAGCAATGGGCGGAAGAATCGTTCCCAACAATTATGCCGGCATTCCGGACTTCGGGGTTGTACCAAAATGTGGGGCACCGTTGAAACATACGGTGAATGAAATTGTTACCGACTTGTTCGTCGTAAGTAGTAATCTCTATATTTCATTCTAATGCTTCGTCAAATTTGTCAACCGTACAATTTTTATACAGGAGGATTGCGTGGCTCATGAGCAGGTAGTTGACATAGAGTATTATCATCGACCTCTGAATATGAAGAAACACTCCAATCCGTTGTCAGGGTGCGTTATCACGATGAGCGTGTATGCCGGCGTGGAGCGCACGTATCTCGCAGCATTGGCCACGGAAATGGGTGCAATGTATGATACAGCTTGTCATACGTTTAATAATAATAGTTCATATGATACAGTATTATTTATTTTAGGTGTCAAGATATCTTCGTACGTAAAACGAACCGTGAAAAAAATACGTACGGCAGTACGCACTTAGTTTGTCCGACACCGGAGGGTAACAAATATCAAGCGGCGGTGAAATGGAAATTACCAGCTGTTAGAGCAGAGTGGCTCAGATCTTGTGCGGCTGAAACGAAACGAGTCGACGAAACGCCGTTTCTCGTAGGAGAAACTCAAGGTACGTCAACATTTAATATGTCTATACAGTTCATTTCTCTAATTTAATTACTGATCTTTAAGTTCCTGAAAGGCCTAGTCAAGTTTGCGATACGAGCCAAGTTTCTCCAGCTGAACCACTGACAAGGAAAATTGTGACTCCAAAGCGACATTTGCCGAGTTTACAGGTATACATTCTTCCTCGTTGTCGCTGTGACAATTTGGTTGATTCATAATTAATCTTTGAAATAACTTATAGAGCCAAGAAAGCAGCTTCGGCAATACATCGATCGTAAATAAAAGACTGGCTTCAGTTATGAATACATCTGCTCAATCACCATTTCACGTGTCGACGCCGGAATCGCCGTACGGGCAAATATTTAAGCCTAATCCTTCTCCAGAGACGAGAAAGATGTGGGCAAAATGGATTAACGGTTTTCCGGATTTAAGGGTAGAAGAACCTCCTCTGAAGAAAAGACCACTTAGCACGGTTAGTTATTTTTATAAACGTCAGTTATAATTTATTAATACAGTACTAACGTCTAATTATGTTCATAGCCTCTATCGGAACTTAAAAAACAGTTGTGGAAGAAATTAAGAAGTTATCATGAAGAAGATACGGTGTCTGGTGAAAACGATGCGCCGGAAGAAGCGGAAAGAGAAGATAATTCCAGAATGGGCGCTGGCACGTCCATTAATAGGAAACTAGATTTCGCTGATGAAAATAGTCCGCAAAACACTGAAATTAATATGTGAGTTAGGAACGTTGTAGGTGAAACTGATTTACGAACTGTAGACGTCTGTATTTTATAGGCAACTTGCACAATTGGATGAATTACTTCAAAAGACGTCCAACACCTCGGATAGATATTCCCTTTCCGGAGAAAATGCAAACTCGTACAAAGTACCAACTCCAGATGCTATAGAAAAGTGTATGGTAAAAGATTCGCAATTAGTTGATGCGATTGTATGGGAAGATCCCAGTCACTCGAAACGGGTAAGTTCCGTGATATTCAATTTTATTTGGGACATTTAATTACCTTTATAATTTTTAGTTAATGATACGAGATGAAGGGAATGAAAACAAAGAAGACTGTGACTCTGATGGTCAAAGAGAACAATTTGAATCGCCGAAAAGACCAAAATTCATGTTATCCGGCATAAAGGTACATTAATTGCGTTCCCTATATGTTATTGTCATTTTATTAACAGGATTACTTTAATAGGACAGAACAGCATATGAAGATGTAATAAAACGGCTCGGTGGCGACGTGTCAACGGATGCTACTTTTGATATGAGCGCCTCGCACGTCCTTTGCATCAGACCATCGAGGAATGAAAAAATGCTTAGCAGTATCGCAACTGGAAAATGGATTCTACATTGCATGTACATGCGAGATTGCGATCAAGAAGGACGGTTTCTCGATGTAAGTATTAATTACTTTTTCTCATCAGAATGTTAGTTTGATTTCGCTTAAATTTTCAATAGGAAGAAAAGTATGAATGGGGGAATCCAAAAAGTAAAGGGATTATACCGGATCCTACCGGCGATATTGAGGAGGCAATTGCAGCAGCCGCGTTTAGGTGGAGAGTAAAATTATTGAAGGAACCGGACGCATGTCCATTTCATAATATGGTCGCTTTGCTATTAGCAGAGGGCGATAAATATGAGATGTTCAAAAGATTGATCGAAGTCGGAGGCGGTACAGTCGTTCAAGCTAGGTAAGGATCTTTTTTCATAGACATAATCGTAGATCGTGTAATCGATGTATTATATATTCCAGGCCACCGTACGATAGTCCAACTGGAAAGAAAATCACACATTGCTTCGTAAACATTAAACAAGTCTCGCAGCCGATCAACTGGGCGATGTTAGCCAGCAAAGGGATTTTCTGTTTTTTACCTCAATACTTGAGCGATTATCTCACTTCGCAAACGCCATTAAATCCACGTGAGTGCGTCATACCAGAATTTAAGAAATATTTAACGTTATTACCAAAATGAATCATGATTGAATAAGAAACTCATTGTATAATTTTATTATTTGTACATAGAAATGAATACACTGTCATATATTTTCTCAGTTTAAAGTTCGGGTATCTCGAATATAAATATGTTTTTGAAACATGATTTATAGTTTCGTTAACTTTAATCTGAATCCTTCCTCTGGTACTATGAAGATATTACGACCGTCGACATATCTCCCTTTATACGTTGGATCCAACGAGACCTCGTAATCTTTCAGTACCGGTATTATACCCATAGCCGATTGCAAAGTACCGAGTCGCGCTCCTATAACGAATATTTCATCGAAGCTAAAAATTTGCTTTAACGACCAAGAGAATTATAATTTATGATGAATCGCTTACCGATACAAATTCTCGGCCCTTCACCGAAAGGCATGTACGTGCATGCCTTGATGTTATCTTTATTTTCATCGCTGAATCTATCAGGATCGTAACGCAAAGGATCCGGGAAGTATCTCGGGTCACGGTGAATGCCGCACAAAGCCACGTATATAGGTGTCCCTTTTTCTATGACTATATCTGTCCCCGGTATCTAAAAGATAACATCTTGTTGTTATTTTACTGTTACATAATTTTAGAGTACCCAAAATGATACAGTCATTACGAAGAAATCAACATATTTCCTATTACCATGACAAATGATTATCATGCTACGCGAGAACCTCTGGAGACTATGTAAGTTGTTTACTAAGTATGCACTTAGGTATTATTTACATTGATCACGTAGCACTAAAACGTTTGGAATGCTAACATCGGAATTACGCAAGAGAACTGCGTCTTGATAAATCATAAATGCGATTCTTATTCATTATATAAAATAGTTATATAATACATTTTTTTACCTTATAATCGTTAACCGCGACTCGATCGAGGAGCGGGGCTGGAGGATAGAGCCTTAGGGTTTCGGACATGATTTGTTGAAGATACTTCATGCTCTGTATGCCTTCGTAAGTCATTCCATGCTGTGCCAATTTCTCGCGAATTTCTTCTCGAGCTCGTTTCTGAATCGTTGGATTCTTGGCGAGCTCGTACAACGACATGGAAATCGTCGTCACGCTCGATTCGCGACCGGCAACGAAGAAGATCGCCGCTTGACTTACCAGTACATCTCCCTCGAACTCTAAATTATAAATTAATTACATTCTCTAGGATAATGAATCGTTGGATAGTTACCACTTACTGAGTTGCTTCTCTTGTTCCCCCGATTTCAAATCTATCAGAGAATCGATCAAATCTCCACGTTTGATATTAGACTTCTCTCTGCTATGAAAGGAGTCCCAAAATACTTGACGGAAGTAATTCGTAGACGAGCCCAGAAACTGGCCACCCAAATAAGGTGCGATTTTTGGGAAGAAGAACATAATAGTCAGTCGAATGCTGCGGTACAATGTAAGCCGGACTCCCTCTTGTGCTTCGAAATACACGAGTAAAAATAATTAGAAAAGGACACGGTAAATCGCAATGAGCACTTTTAAACAGATACCTTGATCGTAGAATTTTGTTTTGTCAGAGTCGAACGAATTCACTTTGATTCCAAAGGCCACGGAAGATATGATATCGGTCGTATATTTCATAGCGATCTCTTTCATTGGAAGTACTTTCGTTTTCGTGCCATGCGAGAATTCGGCTTCCAAATATTTGCTCATACAATCGGAGGTCTCAGCGATCAATTCGCAAACCCTCTTCATCTTTCCGCTCGTGAACACCGGTGTTATTTTCGTTCTAACAAAATGCTCCCGTTCGTTAGTAACGATAAGATCATTTTTAACCGATGAGACGATTCAGACAATACCTTAAATATCTCCATTCTGGATTTTGAATCGTGAAGAGATTCGAGCTACCGATTTTGTCCCGAAACGATCGAGCCGTGAAGAAACGGTCCGGGAAGTTATTGAAGTCTTTCACCAAAATCTGTTTGATCAGCTCCGGGCTCCTAATCAACAAGTACGGCTTGTGTAAAATATAAATCCCGAGAACATCGTCGTCCTCCGAAGCCTGATTGTGCAGCTCGCCGATCACCATCCCCGCAGAGTTCTTCTGCATGACCACGTCTTTTATATTGCCGAAAAGCCAGTGACCAGGTAGTGTAGGAACACCGCGTCTTTGCCAATAAGTATGACATTGCTTCATATACAAAGCAAGCAGTACTCCCAAAGTGATTAACGCGATCAAAAGATCTACGAAGAACGAAACTAACAATGCCATAATATTACAACTCGATCTCAGGAGTTCCTACCAAACAGTGACCGAGAATCTCGGCATATGCGTTTATATAATCATCTCACAATCATCTACTCGAATCGTACGTATTGTAGTAGCATGAATTGCACTTTACATGTTAAGTATATTTATGTGGATTATCTCGTCTGTCAATGATAATAAATATCTATTACTGATAGAAATGAAGACTGGTGTCATCCATACTCAAGTATCGTGGCTTATCAGTTTATTAATGGTAAAATGTAAGAGCATGTCAGTTCATTAAGGGAGATAGAAAATTCAATAAACATTTAGACTTAATTTTTATATTGAATCACGTACTATCGAGGAATGACGAAGCTTTTATATTATAAACAAATTAACTGTATCATTTATCTGACGTTTTAAATGGACTGCGAAGTGACTCTTAGGAATTGTAATTGTAAGATATTATTCCACAATCTGTGGATTGAGAACTAATTATAAATTCCAGCCTTACTTTCACGAGATTTATTTTAGCGTCTATAATACACGAATTATACATATTTATATAGATTATTAGTACAATCTTACACGATTCGATAAAGATTCTAGTATAAACACCGCATCGTCGAACGAAATTTTGGAACCCTACAGGTAACTATAAATACATATACAGTTATAGCTTCGTAATTACTCCCTTCACGTTCACGGTTATCGATAAGTTAAGCGTATTTCTCGAAGCTAAATCGTTTCTTACTATATAGTCCTTACGAATTAAAAAAAAAAAAATACACCTCGACACGTAATTAGAAGATTGCAAATTTACAATGTTCAAACTTGTTTCTTTCAAATTAAGATCATTATGAAATCTCAAGCGAAATCGGATTCCTTAAATATAAGAAATCTGTTTCATTAAGGTAAATCTATCCCTCATGATTCGGGCTCTAGTTTCAATGAAATAAAAATATTGAACTGTGCATTAATTTTTGGCTTGCCCTGTATCCTTTATTTATCACCATCGTCGATTGTTAAGCGCATTCCAAGATAAGGAATAATACTACAAGACGATGGCCCGTAACAAAATTTCATTAAATATTATATTCAAATTCGATCGGCATAATCGAATATCTGAGAAAGTGATTAATCGTGATCAAACTAAAAACGCTTTCTGAACTGTTGTTTCGCGGTACATATTGCATGAATCAGTTGCACTGAATCAGTTTCAACGTTGAATAACTCGCGACACCGTTTGGAATGTTTTTACCGGTTTAAGAGTCCTGGAATTTCCTTTATTCCGATTTTACAAATTCCTTCGATCAACAACGTTATTTTAATTAAACAGTCTGCGATGTCCGATGAATATTCTGTACTAATGAAACACCTTCACTTCGATTGAGCATCCGGTTGAGATTGACTCTGTTGTGTCTGCTGTTGCTGTTGCACCTGTTGAGGGTGTATAGGATGCAGTCTGACTTGACTGGGCCCGGGGCTGCCTCTCGCGGTGGTCACGACGGGTTTCCCTTGAGCAGGTGCAGCTTGTCGTAGTTGGGCACTGCTCGCGGTAACAACTTGAATAGTTTGCTTCAAACCGGGAGAAGCGACCGGGATCACTCGTGTCTGCAGCGGAGACTTTGCCAGGACCACTTGGCCCGGTTGAGAAACCGCCTGTCCCGTCGAAACCTGCAATCACGAATAAAAATAAGCATCGAGTAAAGAGAGACGATAATGAGAAAGTTTGTAAAAAGACTTACGTGGGTAAACTGTTGCATCGTCGACGGCTGAACGTGTTTCATAACTTGTTGGATCTGCTGCACGGTCATCGCGGGCAACGATTTCTGTTGCACAATCAACTGAGTCTGTACGCCCGGTTTCGCGGCGACCGGCGTCAGTTGCGCAACTTTCTGTGTTGGTAATTTCCTTTGGGCGATGATCTGAGGATGGAAAGCGAGCTGACGGATCTGCTGAGGTGTACGTACGTTGGCCACGTTCGCTGTCTTTACTAAAGTAGCGACCGGCGTACCACTGGCGGACGTGCCAGCCTGTACTTGTAAACCGGCTTGTGCGAACAATTGAGCCGGCGTAAGTCCGGTCTGTGCGGGTACCTGCACCTGAGCCACCGCTTTCGCTTGCTGCTGCAGGGAAGCCTGTCGCTTTATGAGAGCAGCCATTTCCGTTTCCGACATCGTACGCGTCACCGTTTGCTTCCCGGCTGTTTGCGCAACGGTCCCGGCGGTTATACTCTGTTTCATCAACGTGGCTCTTTGCTGCGCCGCCGCGGCCGAGACGGCTACCGATACCTTCTGACCGCTTGCAGCAGCTTGTGCCTGGAGTACTTTCAATTGCTGTTGTCGCAACAGAACTTGTTGCTGTCTGTAATACTGCAATTGTGCAGCAGTAAGCGTTTTACTGCCGGAAGCCGGAGCCACAGTGACTCCCACGATACCCTTTTGCGTGCTACCTACAGGTGAACTTTGGGCAGCGGACACTAAACTCGCCGTTGCGATTCTTTGAGCAGCCTGCAAGTTACTGACGCTGACGACCGTTGGCGTCGTCCGCGCGTCTTGCATGGTCAATGTTCCTGCTTGTCTGGCTTTCACCGTGGTCGTAGCGACCGTTGTACCGCACGTGGTAACATTTGTTAATGATGTAACAGTCTTCATGGTAGTCAGCCCTGTTGTGACCGTTGTTACAACTTGCGATATTTGATGCACCTGAGGACTCGCAGTGCTCGAAATATTCTGTTGGGTCTGCTGCTGCTGCAATTTAATCTGTTGCTGTTGAACTTGCTGCTGCTGTTGCTGCTGTTGTTGTTGTTGTTGCTGCTGTTGCAGCAGGCGAGCGGCTACTTGTTGCTGTTGCTCCGCTGTCAAGACCTGAATCAAACGATAATGTATAAATTTTTGAAAATTAAATTTAAATAATGTTGAGTTATGATATACTAACAGCGTGTTTAAGTTTCTCCTTCGCGATCCTGTCGGCGCGTCGCGTCGCAACTTCTATGGGAGCCAACGGACTATCATATTGGATACCGTATTCGGCTAAAACTGCTGCGTTCGTAGGATTTTTCATTAATGGGTTAACGAGCAACGGTTTAACGGTAGGTGTTCTCTTATTCGAGACAGATTTAATGGTGTCGAATCTTTGACAGCACATTAACGTGAACGAATTATTTTTATCTTGATTATATATCTGAGACGTTTTCATGTGCCGGTTTGCTTTACTTTGTTGCTAAAAGAAGACGAGTCAAAAATGATTATTTTCCCTAACAAACATCTCCCTCGAAATCGTAGATAAAAAGTGTCATGATATACCTCGGAGACCTGAGGCATTTTGTAAACGCCTTTCTGTTTCTTTTGTTTTTTCGGCGTGGTATCGTAAGGTAACTTCCCTTCTTCCCTAGGCAGTATCACCGATTCGTATCTGCTTCTGCATTGCTTGGGAGATCTATATATTCGAGACGTATTGTTAACTATGTCTGCGACTAGATCCCAATTTGGAGTGTGACCGGGTGACAAGATCATCAGATTCAACGGTAATCCTTGGTAAATCTGGATCGCTTGGAGAAGGGCCCAGTCCTCGTGTATCAACGAATCCAGAACGTGTTCTTGATCCGCAGAGGATTTCGACATGTGCGAAGGCTTCATCCCCGGCAGCGGTATCGGCGGGCGAACGATACGATATTTGTGTAATTTCATGTCGCGATGCATTTTCATAAATGCCGGCGAAGGCCGATCGAACAGAGATCGAGGCGCGTAAACCGATTCCTCCTTGTGCCGCATTTTAACCGCGCGACGACCTATATTAGAAATAATTACGTAAAAATTGAAAATCGCACCTTCGATTCGAACTCAACGCTGCGTTTGCTTACCGTCGCGATCGTTCATTCCGGCTTCGATCCTACTTCTCTTTTGCTCCTTCTTAATGTAGATCGGAGGTAACTGTGCCTCCGACATCGGAGTATTTTCGTAAAGGAATCCCAAAGAATAGTCGATGTAAACATCGTTATCCGTCGTAGGAGGCGTAGGAGGACACCACATCTGATGATTCAAATAAACTATATACAGGGGCTCTCAAGATACCGTGTTAAAAAAGGGAATTTATATACTGACCGGCATTTGCTCCATATTATCGTCCGACAACCATATCTGTAAGATATTAAAGTAAGACTATGAGATCTGTTCAAAGAATAGAAAAGAAATAGTGCGTCGGAACCGGAGCGTCGTGTACGGTGCACCCAATTTTCGGAGAGCTTGAAGAGACTTGCGTACGCGCGATCTTCGGTTATCTTCCGGTGAACGTAAGAAATTGTATAAAAAAAGGAAGAGAATGAACTAATGATTTTATCATGTCAAGGAAAGTGAATAGGACTTTGCTCGTTCAAAGGCTCATTTTTCCATTTAAGAATCTACTCCGAAGTGAATCGACTCCGTGCAAGTATCAAGTTATTGTACAAGACGCTCATTAATGTGCCTGCTTATACCTTGGCTGACTCCAAGTTTGGAATGGCAAAGGCAGTGTTTTGGTGCCATTTGTTTAAATAATTATTCATTGGAGCTTTTCTACTGCTTGCATGCTACTGTCTACTGCAAAAACAAAGTATTTCTCACTTTTTTTATGTGCGGTCATGATAGCCTTGCCACACCAAAACTTCGCGAGAATATGCAAGATCATTAATTTTCTAATGATCCCTCGATATATATAACCAAGCACATTGAGCAAAATTTGACACCAAAACGGAACTGAACCTTTGATCGAACCGACTTGGAAACGCACCAAGAAATAAGAAAACACATCATTATAGTAGCAAGGAATATTTTGTTTATTTCCTTTCTCGGACTCACTCGATCATACAAAATACAGGCACGCAACTTAAATATTACAGTGGGGCATACCGTTTAAACGAAGAACTTCTTAAATCTAGCAATGCAATCGGGTCGTTACCTTGCAAAGTTACGTGGACACAAGGCGTTACACACGAGAGCAAAGTACCGACGCATTCACAGTATTATTGTTGATTCCTTTTTACTTCCGTATCGAATGTCTATTTCAATTCATATTTGTTTAACGATTGTTAACGCCACAAACTCGTTCCGAGAAACGGCAGACTCGTAGCGTACTAATGGAACTAGCTATTAGTGAATTATTTTTTCCTTTCCTCGTCTCTATATCCTATTATGGTACAGCCGGATGATTTTTAATCGTTCCACTCTTTTTTTTATCACCAAGTATAAATTACAATGCCGCTTAAAAGACATTCGAAACCTTTACAAGAGAGACTATAATTTACAATTCTAAAAATATTACAGAGCGTGTACTCAGTACAACGAAAGAAACTTCTCACTTATCTTTATCTTCGTGATTATATACAAGGATCGTGTTGTGAAAATTAAGAAAATCTTGGAACCTTCGACCGGTTTCACCCGAACGCGATTCCATGTGATGGTAGTCGTCCGAGAACAATGTTCTTCGAAACATGATTCGAATATTTATACAAACACGCTGCTAAATGTTACAGCGATAAAGTTTTAGCGAGACTCAAGATATAGAACCACTATTTATCTTCTCCAGCTGCATGGATTGCGACGAAGGAGGAGGAGGAAGCTGCGAACGAACCGACTTTTTTGGCGGTATCTGTTCTTCATCGTCTAACGCGTTCACCTGCGGCTCGTCTTCCTTCAAGGACTTCGTAAACGAGGATAATCGCGTTCGCTTTAGCTTTCTTCTCAATCTTTGCGATCCGTCGGACGAATCGTAATTGGGATCGTTGTCTAAGTCCACCAAGGCTATCACCGCCGATTGTACAGGCAACGGGACCTTATCAGTTTTATGATTGGCATTCAGCGTCGCGCTTTTATTCAACGGCGACGCTTTTCCCGGCTTCTTGGTATTCGAATAAGTACGTACTACCTTGGAAAGCACGTTCGAAGAGTCTATATCTACACCGGATTCGCACCATCTGTCTACTTTACAATTGGATGTAACGTCGGAGATCCTGAGGCAATTTTTTCCTGTCGAATCGGACGCGGTGTTCGAATTAGAATCGGCGTTTTTTTTAGTATTCTTCGCGTCGGTGGAATTGCAATTAGACGACTTCGAATGAACGGAACTGGAGGCTTTACTAACGTGGTTGTTTCTCGTATCCAGAGTAAGAATAGCGACGACTTTAGCGGTTCTTTGCGGTCTCTCGTCGTTGTAAAGAGATAACGCCGTGTCTTCCTGTTTCGCGAACGTTTCCGATACAACCGCGTTCCCGTTCGAATCCGTGTTTAAGTTTGAAGCTTCTTCTACCTGCGTTTTCGGATCGGAAGACGAATCTGATTTCCGAGCATTTTTATTACTTCTCGACACGTGATTCGATTTCCCCGAGTTCAATGTGAAATTTAGTCCGGATCTGGTGACTCTCGACACTTGCTCAAACGTAGGAACTGGCGTGTCCGGTCGTCGCCTGGGGTTCGTATTTATATTGGAAGATTCGCTGTTCCTCTTGGACCGGGTCGTAACAGGAACAGCGAAGTCCTTCGTCTCGGACGATGGTTTTGTCGGCGGTATCGAACTACTTCTTTTAAACGGAGGAGGCGGACTCATGAAACCATTGTCCAAAGTCTTAGAGCTACGAGTCGTTCGCTTCTCACACGTGTTTTGTTCTTCGTTACTTGGTTGCGGGAGAATACATGGCATGGATCTCGTTGTTGGTCGGGATGACGCTTTGAAGCACTCGGGCATCGGAGTGTCCGGTCGTTTCGTTTTGGAAAAACTCGCATTGCTACTCGGAGGTGGTGTGAACGAACGAACAGCGCTCGATCTCGTAACTCTACTACTACTGCATTCTGCTGTAGGCCGAGGAGTATCGGGTCTTCGAGTCTTACTGATTTCCTTACGAGGAGTAGTCGGATGCGAAGCTTCGTTTTCTTGATTCTGTCTCGATTCGCTAGACTCGTTAGATGAGTGCGCGCTCGAATTCTTATTTTCCGTATTTCCTATGCTAAGATTTAATTTTGCGCTTCTTGTGATCACTCCGTAAGATACTAAACTCGGTTTTCGAAATTTATCCTTGGTTTCGCTCGTTTCGGAGCTGTTAGAACTCGTAGTATTGGAGCAAGAAGTATTGTCACTGGTTTTCGAAGTAGATTGGATATTTCCTTTATCCTCGTCACGCGTGCACTCATCCGACTTAGTACAGTTCTGTTCGCTGATATTGGACTCCTGACTAGAGCTTGATCCTATCACAGATTTCGATTCCTTTTCACTGGGAGACTGATCTTGCAAGCCTAAAGTACTTTCATCGTATTGTTCCTCATTCACTGGAGTTTCTTCTACGGTTGTTTTCTTTTTTGTATCGACGGCGCTGTGTGGTCTCGCATCGGTCCTTGTACGTTCATCATCGGAAACGCTGTTATCTTGTAGTTCATCCACGATACTGTAGTTATTTTCAGATGTTCTCGATTCACAAGACTCTTCTTTTTCTTCGATAGAATTTGTTTCAACATTATCTTGAACAGTCATTTTATTTTTCAAAGGAGTAATCGTTGAATTTCCCGATATACTAATTTCTTCATCTATGTCCAACGTTATCGAATTCTTCAAACATTTCGAATCGGAGGTATGTTTCGAACTGTTCGATTGTATAGCTGGCGAATTAGAGTTACTGTTTTGCGATGCTGAATCGATGCTAAAATTTTCCGACTCATCATTACTGTTCGTCTCCGGTTCGGAGTTACTGTATTGTTCCGGATTGTCTTGACTTACATCATCGCACACTTTTTCATCGACCAAACTAGATTCCGAATCTTTATACTGTTCCGACGTGACAGACGAATTATCCGACTGAGAACACGTTTCCATATCTAAAGAATCGCGCACCGATTTTGCATGATTTTGAACCATTTTACAATTCTCTTCTTTGTCGATCGCCATCTGTTCCGTATCGGATACTTCTTTCTGAGTTGTACTATCTTCGTCGTCGGATTTACTCGAAGAATTCGTGATATTGAATTTTCTACAACTCAAACCCGGTGGCACGAAACGTTTCCCCTGCGCTTTGATCCTCATCTCGAGCTCGCGTTGTTTCCGTAGGTTACTGGCTCTACCGCGACACTTGGGTTTTATACCCGGCAAGATCGGACTCACGTCCAAAGTCCATAAGTTGATTTTAACGTTACCCCTAGATCTCGTTCGCGGACTATTCAAATCGAAGTGGTTCTGACTGAACGACTTGTTGGAACGGTTCTTACGCTTCGGATATTCCCCTTTCTCCGAATCGTTCTGATCGTTCATCTCTTCCTCCTCCTCATCCTCGTCGCCCTGACTCTGACTCTCCGTATGACTCGACTCTTCATCGAGACTATCTTCGACTACGTCTTCCTGCGATTCAGACTCAGACTCGGTAGTAGTGTCAGTATCACTTTCCGATTCTTGAGCACTTTTACTAATATTCTTACGCGAATTCCTCCTCCTATTCGGTGGGAGTTTCTTATTGACTAATTTCTTAGAATTACTAGCACTATTAACCTGATTTTGCGCATCCTCACGTCCGAACGTTAACGGCTTCTCGTCGTCGTCGGCTAGACGCATACGCCTCTCCTCTTCTTCCCGCAGCGCGCGTAAACGATCCAGTTCCCATTCCTTCTTCTGCTCCTCGAGCTCGCGTTCAGCTGCGGCCAGTTGCGCCGAGGAAAACGCGCCTTCCGACTCTTCGACAAACTTCATAGCGTACCGTTCTATCGGCGTCAACTATGAACACGAGAAAAGATTTTCAATTAACATCTCTACAAGTTCAAAGTCAAAATTGAATAAGAAGTATTATATAGGGTATTCACATTACGGAAATCGTCCGAAAATCGTGACGATTTTCGTATGATGCGAATCTTCAAAGACCCATGATTTTGACGATCTAAACCACGTAAAAGCTGGATGCCCCAATGGGCTCCAGCCAAGAGTACGGGTAAGATTCACCGCTGTTTAGCGGCAAGCGAGTAGCCGTTCACAGCTCAAGAATAAAATTGACGACTCCTTAACCAATAAGTACTCGGACTTAAACGACAGGGAACCTGACTCGTATCATTATAACGTCATCTTACCTGAGATACTAAGTTCTGCACTTCGAGCTCGGCCTTGCTAACTTGCGTATCATCTTTGTCTGCATCATCCAAAGGTATATTTTCATCGAACTCCGCGAGATCGGCAACAGCCTCGGCCTTGGCAGTCTTCGCAGCTTGAACGTCGAGATCCTCTTCGGCGGCAGCAAGCGCGCTCTCGAGCGCACCCATCGCTATTTTATCCTCGACCGAAGATCCCTGACCGTCCTTTTGCAAGAACTTCTCCCGATCTCTGTTTTGCTCCAGTACCTCGGCCATTCGAGTCGACGCATCGTTCTCCGATTGATCAATATTAAAGAGATCTTGAATCGTGGACTATGAAATAGAAAGATTACAATAATAAAATAAGTTAAGAATAGAGTACTTAATCGTGTAATTGGAAAATACTTACACTTTTGAAGTATGCAGTTGTGAAATTGCCACCCTCGATCGCTAGATCTCCGAGCAGTCTCTTCTGATTTGCTTTTTTCAATATGTTTTCTTCCACAGTCTTCTCGCTTACTAACCTGCAGCGCATGAAAATATAATTAAACAAATAATAAAACATTTGTGCACCGTATTTTCGATACGTACCTATAGATGTGCACATCTCGGGTTTGTCCGATTCTGTGACACCTGTCTTGCGCCTGGGCATCCATCGTTGGATTCCAATCGCTGTCATAAAATATAACGGTATCCGCCCCTGTAAGATTTACGCCCACACCTCCAGATCTCGTTGACAAAATGAAACAAAATATTCTTTTGTCCCCGTTAAATCTTTCCATCAAAACCTGCACGATTTTTACGAAATTAAGTATCAGTTTAAAAAATGTGAAACTATCAAGTAATGAAATTTGTACTGATCAACTAATTATTAATTACCTGTCGCTGATCTACTCTAGTAGTGCCGTCCAAACGTAAATATATGTGACCATGGTAATTGAGAAAAGCCTCCAACACGTCCAACATCCTCGTCATTTGTGTAAATATTAGAACTCTATGATTCTCCGATTTGAGTTTCCTAAGGACCTGATCTAACGATTGTAACTTCCCGCAGTCGTACTGTATTAATCTGGGATCGGGGAACTGCGTCATCGTTGCGCTTGCTACTGGATGGAACAATGCTAATTTTGGCGATAGCTGACGTTGCAATTCCATCTGCATTCGCCGTTGACCGAATAGTTTATGTGGCGGAGGATGCGAAACATGGAAACGTGGCGTTGGAGCACACACGGCGGGAACGTGTACGACGAACCTAACATAAATATAGAAAATTAAACATATATTACCATAAAATTATTGATGGAATCTTTTCTCACCGACATACGTACCTTTCGAAAACTTCTTTCAACTCTTCAACAATTTGCTCCGTACTTTTAATAGCTTCCGCAAGCGCTTCTGTGCGAGAGAAAAACTGCTTCCTTGTACGCGTGCTGTTCTTAGTCGTCGCACAGTGTACCCAACCGTTATGCCATCGGCAAGCCGTAGACGGTTTACCAATTCTCAGCGCCATGAACAGATCCTCACCGTAAAGAGGACACGCGGCGCATCGTCTTTCATTAATGTTCGCAAGAAGTTCGAGTTTAGCCTCACGTCTCTGTTTCCTTTCTTCTTCTAATTGCGGCTGTAAAAAAAAGTTACATATTAAAAATTCGTCGATTTCTGGAAGATAGAATTCTGTGTTAGAATAATTACCAAATAGAATTCGGATTTTGGACGTTCTTTCGTTTGTGCCTTTTCTGTATCTTTTTGTGCGTGTCGCGTGACGATACCGCAACGGATCGATTGCTGTTGCTGCGGTTGTCCATTACCAGTGGGGGACTGTGCTTGAGAGGCGGTAACATTAAGTGGCGGTACCCTCATTACAGGTCTTCCACTTGTGCCACTCGAAGTAGTCACCACTCCTCCTATTACTTTGTTCACCGTAGCTGCCGAAGTAGATAGGCCCATCAGAGATTTCGATAAAACCGTTAAACGTTGCCCACTCATCACTGGAAATGAAACTGCAAACGTAGAAGCATGTCAGTCGCAGATTATATATATCACCATTGGAAAAAAAATAAGTATTTAGGAGATTTGCTCGCAAACACAGAAGTATTATTTTTAGACATGCGTTTTGTATTATTTAAAATGCATAAAAATGATACGTGAAGGGATGTAAGACGGTTCTCGCGCGTTGCTTTTAATGAAGAAAATGAAATCAGTGGGATATGAGCACTCAATGGGACAAACCTGTGTTAGTGTTTTGTTGATTTGAAGTCAAAAAGATATGTCTACCAGTAGATGTTTGAACCACCTGTGCGAAACTAGGCACAGTCTGAGATTTGAGACAGAATCTTTGGACGGAATCGCCTTGCTTAAACGTGACAGTCTGCGTTGCTAGTCGTTGCAGTCCATCTCTAATGTTCGCATTCCCTACTGTAATCCTCTGTGCATTCGTTGCTGCTGTAGTCGGTGTCACTGTTGTACTTTGTGGATTATGTGCTAGTGTCCCGACAGGGATCGCTATTTCCGAAGCAAACACAACAAATATGCTTTACACAAACTGTGACTCACAAATGTTAGAGATTATATAATTAATAATGGAAGTTTAGTCGATGTGCTCTCGGTTCTAGAATGCTTATAATACGGAAGACTATAAACAAGCTGGCCCGAGACCAACTTCATCTAGCACCACTGCAAAAATGATTACACAGCGACATGACTGCAACCACTGATCGATGATGCACGGGGTCCCAAATTTTTAATGTAAATGTATGTGTACATGTGCCAGAAGAAAGCAACATAGAACGGAGCTCACCTTTCACGCTGCCTTGATGTTGAACCAGTTGTACGGGATATCCCTGCAACTGACCACTTGCTACTTTCAACGTAACACCTGTGAATCAGCGAAATCCAACCAAAATTAATTACATGAATTCAATAGATTAAATGAATGCTAGAAAAGCGATTCTTACCTTGTCTCGGAGCACTCTGATTATTCGCAGTTTTAATTAGAGGAGACGTTCCAACTTTTGGAGTAGGCAAGATTCCAGCTAGGTTCTTGAACTTCGCTTGAGTCTGCTGTTGGATAGACGACGGTCTAGCTTGATTAGATAGCCTAACATTGATTTTAATTTTTCCAGGTGGACATCTCGGAGGTGGCTCCGGTTGACTGTCTATTTCCTCGATGAGTTTTCGCGGCGTTTGCAACCGCCTGACTCTGTGCGCCACGAACGCGGTAAGTGTCAAGTCCAGATCGCATAAAAAAAGATTAATACTAGACAGATCGATATGCTGTAAAATGAAATAAACACATTATACACTTTCCTAAACGTAAAAAAAATAATCAGTGTTAAAACGAGAGATTGGATTGATACCTTAAACGGATCGTAATCAAGAGCGCCCCATACTAAGGACGCAGTTACAAACTCGATGGCCTCCATTTGAAACGGTGATATAGTAGGTCTCACTTCAAACAAATTTGGATGATTGCATACTTTCCGCAATTGCATTAATACGTTAATGACGCTCAACAAATTACCGCTGGCAAGAGTCTCTTTTGTTCTAATGAGAAACAATTATATTAGCAATGACACGAATTTCTATATTACATCGTGTACATTAATACATACTTTGCTCTAGACATAAAATCATCGTACAGATATCGCTGCCTCTTTGATAGACGACACATGACAACGTGTTCGTACTTCTTCGGTAATTGCTTTTCTACCTCAGTTTTCAATCTCCGTAATAAAAAAGGGCGCAAGACCTACAAAAACGAGAATTGATGTAAACGATATGTGAACAGGA